AACGGCGGCGTTGTATACACGTATTTAATGTGTTTTTCAAAATTGTGATGAAATGCATTTACTTGTCTTATTTTGGTCTTTTTGAATGAAACATTTTAGAAATTAATACTACTACTAAATGCTGTGGTTTTGATTTCCAAGATGGAGTTTTGCCTTATAGGCAAAAAAAAAAAAAAAAAAAAAAAAAAAAAAAAAAAATTGTCTATGAACAGTAAAACCCCTAAAATATATATTATAACCCAATGTCAGTCAATTTTAAATGAAAAAGTTGCTTTTTTACCGGTATGTGTCCTAGCAAGTAAAAAAAAAAGCAAAAAGTGTTAAAATAATGAGAACTGGTGGACATTATATGTGTTAGTATTTCTCTCATTGAAAGCGTTATGTAACAAAATTGCTCCTATATAAAATAGTCCTCATTTACAGTAACTTTTGATATATTGAATAATAACATAGAAGTTTTAATTATCTTAATGTGAGAGAAGAATTCAACAACTGTTATATTTGTTATCTTTGCAAGCAAGTTGATACATGAGCAATATTGATACTTATCCTTTGATATCTTATGTGTGAATAAAAAATTATAAGATTTGCACATCTAATGAACCATTATAAAATCTTTTTTGATCACTTTTGTTCAGATGAAAATGGCCAATTGGTGCAAAGAATTCTGGAGCTGGAAATAGCTGAAAAGCAATTAATTGGTAAGTAGACACTCGTTATTTACTCAATTTCCATGTAGATATGATACGTATAATGATAAGTAATCGGTAATTATCGCATTTGCAATGTCTTATATTAGATAAGGAAAACAGATAATTTTATAATATTATGGACAGCCGTAGGGTACCCTCACATTATCATTATTTTTACCTATATAAGTATAGTAATAAATTAATCTTTCATTTTTAGAAATGAAGACCAAGGCATGTGAAGGTAAAATTACCATTTTTGTCCCTTGTGCTTTGAGTTCAGTTCCGAAATTGGTCGACGTCTCAACTGATCTTGCATTAAAAAAATCATAACTTCAAAAATCTTTGCACTTGTAGTACATTTAAAAGTAAATCTAAGCGATTTTTTAAAGGAAATTTTCTTCCAAACTGTGAAATTCATATATAAGTCCCGGAATTCCAGTTCCGCGTGGGCTTGTTTGTGAACTACTGTGAATAAAGATTTTGTTGAAAACAATATTATTTTTAAAAATATCCGAAAGATATTGAATGATTTTGATCAAACAAACTTGATGCGACAAGATGTAATTTGCTTTTGTTTCTTGTCACTCTCTGTTTCTTCGATCATAACCAAATTAAATGTGTATAATATATTATGACAGACTAAAGATAGAGTAAATATGTGACGTTATATTCTATCATTTTCAAAACTTTAAGGAACTTTTAGAAAATTTGAAATCGCAAAACGTACGACTTTTCAACTTTTTATACAGCCATTCCCCACGATGAATTAAAATCCAAGCTTTTTGACGTCATAGACAGCTGCTTTTTCAATAAAAATGGAAGTCGTAAATTTACTTACCTTGTCATTGGTCATTTACAAGATTATTTTGTCAAAAACATTCTGATTATACACACAAGTACTCTGAAGTTACGGTAATATTAAAAGAATGATTGAGTTTCTGATTGATAATATCTATGTAGCTTTTGGAGATCAAGTCTTCCACCAATCTGTCGGAATTTTCATGAGTACCAATTGCGCCCCGTTATTAACATACCTGTTTGTGTATTCATATGAAGCAGAACTTATTCAAAAACTTGTAAATGAGAAGAAAGCAACTGCTGTGGCCTTCAGCTCGACATTTAGATATATCGACGACGTATTATCAATTAGCAATAGTGACTTCCATTCATATGTCGACTCGATATATCCCAATGAACTTGAAATAAAAGAATCCACAGAGTCTGACACATCTGTTTCGTATTTGGATATGTTACGAGTAAAAACGTTAATGGTTACCTAGCAACAAACCTTAATGAAAAACGTGATGACTTCAACTTTTCTATCGTCAACTTCCCTTACCTAAGTAGCAATATACCCTTATCACCTGCATATGGGGATTATGTTTCCAAGTTGATTCGATATGCTAGAGCATGCTCTACGTAAAACAATTTCGAAAACGAGGCAAGCTATTGACAAACAGGTTGATGAAACAAGAATATCAACAGTCTCGTTTAAAGCCATCATTTTCTAAGTTTTTGGTCGATACAATGACCTTGTAACAAAAATCCAACCTATCAATAAGTTGAATGCTGACTGACGCTTTTCATACTAATTGTTAGGCCATTTATTACATTTTGAATTGTCTACGGATTTTTCTGTTTTCCTGATCATGACAAGGAGCACACAACGGGTGTGACCGATCGGCAGGGAATGCTTACTCCTCCATGGCACTTGATACCACCTCTGATGTTTTTTGAGATCAGTGTTTGCTCTGCTCTTGAAGTATATTTTTTCTATGAACTTTTGAGCTTGATTACTGTTCGTTATCTCAATATTTGATACACTTTTTTCTTTTTATTCGACACGGAAGTAGATAAGTGAATTTATTGACTATATAAGCAACTATTCAACAAGCCCATCCCACGTCCTCCCATTCAAATTTTTTTTTCCCCATAGGAACCCCAGCAACTGCCCCATTTTTCCTAGTCCTGTCTTAGGGGAGATAACTGAGAAATCGAGGAGATAGGAGGGTACCAAATAAAAATCGTCTTCCGAGGGAAATGCTGAAAGACGATTTCCTTGGTAGTAGCATAAATTCATAAATGTTTCAGCGATGCTCTTTCAAGCCAAGTGTGTTCAATTCAAAGTTTTGAAAAGGAGAATATAATAAAATACGTATAAGGTATTTCTAAGATACGTTCGTTCAGTTGACCGTTGAGTCACATACTAGTAGACTTTCTGTAAATCTAGGTTTTGATTATATGTATCAGGTCAATAATGATTCTGTCTTTGATTAAACCGGAGAACATCATAAAAGTTCAAGGATGAAAGAGAAGCAACAGTTTTTGACAATTTAGTCATTTAACAAGAATATACTTGTATCAGGTATAAAAATATGCCTCCTCCGCCTATAAAAGAAATGATGCATATAATGAGAAGATAATAATAGGATATTCTAACACAAATGTAATTAAAATACACTTTTAAAGATTTGTTAAACAAGCACATGCATACTATTTAAGGAGAATAAAATTATATTTGCATATGTGATAAATGTTTAACTTTCTACAATCTGGCCGTAAACGCCCAGCTGCCCAGCACTTTAATCCTTGCACATTTGATAATGCAGTAAACTGTGTCCATAGGAAAAAAAAGTTATTCATATATATATATATATATATATATATATATATATATATATATATATATATATATATATATATATATACATACATATATATATATATATATATATATATATATATATATATATATATATATATATATATATATACCTTTTTTTTTTTTTTTACAGAGGATGCTATCAGTAAGGCTGAAATAGAAAACTTTAAAAAAGAAGTACACTCTTTAAATGGTATGTAACTTACTTCTCAGGGAACATATCATTTTTTCAATAGCTTTTTATTATGATAATAAAACAGAACGTGCATGTATTTGTTATATAATTCATATAATTTAAAAGAAAACAAAATTTACTTTTACTAGAATAAAAATAATCATGAACATATATTTGTATAGTCATAGTTTTGTCATCCGATAGGGGCGCAAAAAAATCGAATTTTCCAATTTAAAATATTGAGCTTAAAATACGTTAAGAAAAGTGTTTCGATTTCCAGCTCAGCCTTAGAAAAATGATTTCTATGTGCTTTCTATATTAAGTGTTATTCACTTAGGGCAGTTATATAAGTTAAAGAGTTGTTGTAAAATGTGCTTTATAAATAAAAATTCGTTACAGTGTGTATCGGTAAAGATCCTCTAATAAAACTAATGTCCAAATAACTGTATCTCACTTCCATTCTCAATGACCGTGTAGTGTAGGACAGCGACGCGAGAATCCATCGGCATCTATATATATATATATATATATATATATATATATATATATATATATATATATATATATATATATATATATATATATATATATATATATATATATATAGCTAATAAATTGTCTTAAATGAAAAACTAATACGTCTAGAAAATTTTAGCGTTCAATATCTTGGCGTTTTATTGAACGCTGAGTTTTTATTACGTAAATGAGTATACCCGGAACATTCTGAATACGAGCGTTCAGTATCGAACGCCCCGTTGTAAACAAAAAATGTCGTCTGGTCAACCTCTCAAAGGCAAATTTATTAGAGGTAGTGGCAGCTAGGTAAGATGTAATAAATAAAGGAGTTACTGAAATTATGTTGGTAAATATTGGCACGAGTTGGCTGTACAAATGCACTCGCAAGCTCATGCATTTGAACAGTTTGTACCTAAATTAAACAAAAAGTGGAATTTGTGAGAAATATATTTGTTGATTTTTTTATCCGTTGTTATGTAGGCATATGGCTCTGCTTATCCCTCCATTTTCTTTACAAATTAATCTACCTTTATTATTTTAATTACAGATAAAACGAAAGGTTATGAAGAACAAATAAAACAACTTTCCAGAGAAAACGATGAAAAAATGGCATTTAGTCATTTCTTTTGTGAAAATACTAAATTTAAATTTGTTATCGCACACAATTTTTCATTTTTTAGCCATACTTACATGACAGCAGGAGAGCTTATGCGTTGGTAAAATGCCTATCTGTCAGTATTTATTACATCCAACAATTTTTGTTCAATTATAATGAACCGCATTGCCATGAACATAATTATCTAGATTGAATCTTCAATCTTCATTTGGATAAATGATTATGATACGTATCCTTTGATAATTCCTACGATTGTAATGTATATTGAAAATACTTTTGCTCATCTAATGAACAAAGGAAAATTAATTTTCGTCCAATGTAGATGAAAATGGCCGTTTAATGCAAAGAATTCTAGAACTGGAAAGAGCTGAAGAGGAACTGCAAGGTCAGTTGACATGCTATTTGCCCAATTTCTATTACATTTTTTGGTGAAAAATTGGTATAGATCTTGCACGTATATTATGTGTGCAAAGTATTATATTAGATCAGAAACAAATAAATCTATAACATTGTATTAATCTTTTATTTTTAGAAATGAAGACCAAGGCATATGAAGGTATAAAGATAAAATGAAAATGAACTTTTTCAATAACATTTATATCTGATGCATATATCAAAGATTTTTTTCAGATGAGCAACTTTTTTCATTCTCTTTGAACCAGCAGATAAATCAAGTCCATTTTTCCTAACTTTAAGACAAATATATATGGTCTTCAAGATAAATTCTGTTTTTGTTGATGAATCAGATTTAAATATTAAAGTATGTAAAAGTATTACTTAGCCTTAGCATTTTCAGTTAACCTAGTTGATATTGATATGAGATCTAAATTACGTATGAAAATTGTAAAATTATGATTTCTCTTACGTCTAGAATTTAATTCCCATAGGTGTCTCAGTTGATCACACGCATTAAAAATCCTGATGTCGTAAAAATCTCTTCACACTAGTGATTTTTTTTTTAGAGAAATAGATTTTCTACCACGTTTTAAAGTTTAAATCAAGTATGTCCAAAGTTTTACTTCCTGGTTGGCTGTTTCTTCTGTTTTTATAAATTTATGATACTTTGGTGCCTATAAAGACCTGTTGCTTTTTGCTGTCTAAAGAACCGTGATTTTTCGTAAGATCCTGTTATGAACATATTTAAGAGGTCATTAACTTGGATGCAGTGTCTTTTCTTATTATTTTGTTCATTTATTTTCCGTACATTTCCTAGTTAACTGATGCTGCCGTATATTTATATGCAGGTACAGTGAAGGGTAGTCTAAAGGTCTTATTAAATCGATCTTGAACAAGGGCATACCCTAAAATGATCATGACAACCTTTTTCAGAAGATTCAAGCCGTTTGAAAAGTGCTGCGATTATGTTGAAATCTTGAAAATGAATTAATTATTTCTATATTTATTGCAGTTGACCTGCTAAAACTGCAAGTTATGTGCTATAACCACGTGACTGCCACTTAACGACACCAATCTAAATAGAAAATCCTATCTTCCTCAATATGCAGTTAATAACTATAATTACATTTGTCCGATTTTAGTAAAGTACTAAAAAGAATCGCCATCCTGATTAGGAATGTGTTTTTATCATAAAAAATCGCCGATATTTCCATTTGGCACCTTAACTGTACTGCAAATGTTACTTGGTATTTCAGAATTTGTCTGAAGATATCTGAACATAAGGAATTGATTTTGATATGACTAACTTTATGTGACAAAAAAGATGCCATTTTGATTACGTTCCTGTCACTTGTTGTTCGATCATAACCATTTTAAATGTTGTGATCAGTATCTTCGGATTGTCTAGGCAGTTGAAAGACTGTGAAAGAATGAATATTTAGCACTGCATTTGACGATATTAAACATAAGACATACACTAGACAAAATTCCTAGCGCACCACTTGTAATTCTTATTTGTGAACTGTTTGGTACTAGTATATATAATATGCCATCTTTTCAAATACAGTATGATTAAGAAATGTCCAGGTTTCATGACAAGACCCATAAATGACCTTCTTGCCCGAAAACCAATTTCTCGACATGCACTGCGTACCGTATTTGCCCAGATATGAAGTTGGTGATTATAGAAGATGATCCGTGCGGTTGCTCCTGATGCAGTCTCCCAGTTAAAAAGCAAATAACATACAGCGATTGGCTATCATAACGCCTAGTGGCCATCCCCTACCTTGGTGTCCCTACCCAGTCCACCCAACCTGCGGTTGTGCTAATTTTCTTGAAAAATCTTTAAATTGTCGTGTGGTGCTTACTTAATGCTCTCTATAGTAAACATATTTTATGTTCGGTAATCTATTTGCAACAATTTTTCTCTAGAGGAATGAATTATTTTTAATTGCTATAATTTTTCACAAATATCTCTAAAGAAACCCCCATGCAGACACCATACTGACGGCTCTAGTACGCTCTTTATGGGTCAAAGTCCGCATACGGTTTAACTTTTTTCTGAGTTCTAAAATAGTACAAACATTAAGAACACAACCACAAACAAAAAAATAGACATTTATTCCTCCAAAAAGTATGTACACGATTTTAATTTTTTGTAAATGGTTACGCTTCAGTTAATATTGTAGTTATTTATCAGTTAAGACATATAAATGCCTCATTTTATGTTTAAGTAAAATAATTATATATCAAATACATCCTTATTAAGTTTAGAAAAATAAAATATCAATTTTCTTTGGTGATGCGTTAGCAATATTGTCTAGCGTATGTCTTTGATGTTATGCAAGAGAACTGACCGAACTTCTTTTCTTTGAGTAAATATCCATCTAAGCTTCTCGCTGCCAAATGAAAATGTTTTTACAAGACATGCAATGTAATCGAGAAAAAAGAAGAAAAAAAAGGGAAAGGTTTTTTTTTTTTTTTTTTTTTTTTTTTTTTTTTTTTTGACAAAATGTCAAATTCAGGGGGAAATGTTATGAGAAGGCTTTCTATTTAGCATATATTCAAATATGTAATCTGAATATAATAAAAAGCTGTTTTTATTTGTTTATCTTAGAAATGTTTCTATGTCATACTCTCCTGACCGCTGAGCCCATGGGCGCTCGAAATGTATGTTCATGTATTTGATGATAACTATAAGTATCATACACATATTCTGTTTCTCATCAAACCTTATTTTTGATACTTGCTTTGGAGGGCTAACTTATCATTCACTGATGAAAGAGAAGCATGCCATAATTTGACAATTAAAAATTAGTGATTGGACAAGAATTTAAATGATTAGAACAGAAACAATGTAATTATTCCCTCTATCTATATACGATGAAAACTTAATTTTTGTGGTAAAAGGGAGAAATATTGGTTCATGGGAATTTAATTTCGTGGATAAAAAATCGATGAGTAATTATATATATGAAATTTTACATTTCATTGTTGTCATAAATTCTTGGGTCTCTTCATACTTCGAAAAACAACGAAAATTAAACCCCCAACGAAAATAAATTATTTTACAATAATCTCTATGGTGATAAAAGGATAAAAGGACATTCTATCAAATCTTTCAAAAGTAGTCATAATAATTAATACGTAGATTTGTTATACTTGCAAACTACTACAGAAATATAAAAAGAAAATCAAGAAATATTTTTAATCAGTCAGTGAAATGACAGAAAGTTTCAGGTATATATTAGTAAAGTATATCTGATTTGTTCAAAACTGTCATGCTCTTGGAATATTAAATACGTGTTGTAAAATTTTATATTACAGAATAGAATGATTAATCAGAAATATTATGTTTAAAGCGTGGAAATCAAAGAAATTAATTTCCAAGTGCTTCTCTTAATTCAAATGTGTAAAATCTTTATGACTTATTCAAATGATTTTTTTAAAACAACTAATAACTACAGTTTTCTTTTACGAAGCAACTGTATTCATTCACATTTGATAATATGCAAACAAACTAAATTAGGACTGAAATAAAATGGTTGATCTACCAGTCTTACAGGGTTTTCATTTCTTTATTTAACAGAGGAAGTTTTTAGAGAGGATGAAATAGAAAAACTGAAAAAAGAAGTACAATCTTTAAATGGTATGTATCTCCTCAGGGGACAACCGATTTTTTTCAATGTCTGTCATAATAATGATAAGAAAGCAAGCAATTCTGATATATTTAAGGATCAAATAACAGGTAAACAATAGCCTTAATCATACGCGTATATTTCTCTAATTTACTTTTGACAAATGAGCTTAAATGCGATTTTTGAAATATATATATATACTTAACAGATACTCTCAGCCAAGAGAGAAACATTGGGGAAGGAAGGTTAACAGAAATGCAGAAGATGGAGGAGGATTTACATAGTCATGAAAGAACAGAAGAAAGTCTTCAACGTATGTTTTCGCTTTAAATGATGACTGCTTTACTTAAGGATATTTTTATACCTTTAGAAATTACAGTACGATTTTTATGTATGATTTTATCGATTATAAAGGCAAAAAAGAGTTTGACATTTGGTATTTTCATGTTCGTCTCTCTCCTGGTCTTCTACTTATACATTTGTAATTTGGATCTTCAAAATGTTTTAAACCATATCGAATTACAAAAACGCAAGGGTAGAGTTCATTTGAATGCAATAGGAATACGGATTATAAGTAGTAATTTTCTTCTTCAGTAACTAATCATAAGTAAAAGTGAAAGTTCTTTGATGAAGAAATAAAGCTTTATAGTTTTCTTATCTTCCAAGTTCATTATATTTTTAAGAGAGACTAGAGGAAGCCAATGGAGAGATGGATAATTTGAAAAGACAAATTGAAAAACAATGTGGTAAGGAATTTCATATTATAATTATGATAGAAATATTGTAGATGTTATCATAGAAATAATCAATGTGACTTAAATGAAACTACTTCAAGTAGATGATAAAGATGCATAGTTATCAATGGGGAAAGCTGCTTGCAAATTGAATGTTTTAAGATAGACTGAGGTTTTTTTTTTAACATTTAATGCTCGCGGAATATCTGATTGATTGATCGATCGATCGATTGATTGATTGTTGTTTAATATCCCATTCGAGAATTTTTCACTCATATAGAGATGTCACCGTATACTGGTGAGGGCTTCAAATTAAAACCTATACTCGGCACTCAGGGCCATTGAGCAGTGAGGGTTCTTTATCTTGCCAACGCTAACCGTGACACGGAACCTCAGTGAAAGACCCGTGACTTTCACTCCTAGTGCCGGGCGTTTGGCGAAGGAACAGCTACTACCTATATTCACGTCTTAAGTTTGACGCGGCGCGGTGAAGGAGAATCGAACCCGGGCCTCCCGATCACGAAGCGATGGGAATATCTATTGTCAATCTATATTGTATTTTTTTTCCGTTACCTCATTCGGCAATGTGGAATTTTTCGTTTCGTTCCTTTTGTTTTTCAATAATATGAATAAAAATATTAGACTAAAATTATCTAAATGGAGGAGCAAATCTAGCTGCAATAATGTAGTCTTCTCCGATTTTTTAAATCTGATATTTTCTGGAGAGGGCTACAATTCCACAGCATCTCCGTAACGGTGCAAAATATAGGCAAAATGAATTGTTTTTACATTCAACTTACTTCTAATAAGACGAAACTTTCATTCACTGTCAACAACATAGCCCTTTAAACGCGAAAACCAGGTAAAATAAATCAGCGTGTTTACCAGTTTTCCTCAGCAGCCATGACAGTTCTCGTGTGATGTACTGAGACTTGCGCTTGAAATTTAGAATAACTGGATTATGCAAATGTCGGTGTTGATAATGATTGTATTATACGGTATCACTAAACATCGATAAATAAAACCATTTCATATGATATTTTATTCGTATACAGCGATATTTATGCTTAAAATAAAGGAATTCCTACTGAGATCCGCTCCGTAGATCCCGAATTCTCATTGGCTGTCCCAAAATGAAAACGATCAAGGTCAGTAAACATGGCGGATAAATTCAAGTTGGAATGTACACGAAAAATAACCGATATATGAATTGTTCTGTATATTTTTGGATCGATTTATGTCTTGCATAACTACATTTTAGGAGCTCAGGTAAGAAATGTTAGTAAAGTAGCCATTTACTGACAATTTGAGTCGAAATCTGTGTGGGAGTGAATCAATCCCACACTTGCACCATTACGGAGATCCTAAGGAGTTGTAGCCCTTCAAAAAAGAAAAAAAAAATCGGGAGAGGGCTACATTATTGCAGCTAGACCAAATCCTATCTTAGGAGAGATAATTGAGAAATCGGAGAAATAGGAAGAGATAATAAAAAATCGTTGTTTCTGAGGGAAATGCTGAAAGATTTCCCATGTAGTATATTTTCATATATGTTTTATCAAATCTCTTTCAAGCCAAGTGTGTTCACTTCAAAGTTTTAAAAATGAGAATATAATAGAATAGGTATAAAATGTATTTCTAAGATACATTCGTTCAGTTGACCGTTGAGTCAAGTGGGCTTTCTGTAAATCTACGTTTGTGAATATTAGTAAGTATGAGGTCATTAACGATACTAATGCATAATATGATGCATGATAAGTTGTGAATAATTTAGGTGTAAAATGAATTTTTTATTCGTTTGGAGCACTTCCGGTCATGACAGTGAGTAAATAAAGAAAACAGGTAATTTGGAAATGAAGACATTTGGTCCTTTGTTTTTATCTGTATTTACATGCCTTCGGAAGCTTTGATTACTTTTGTAGATCATTTAGAGTTTTCTAATTCATAAGATTGTTTTTAAAGGTGTCAAGAAAACGGCAGATCTGTTATTGCCTAGGCAATAAGTATTTAGTTCTTCTCGTCATCCAAATTTTATCAGGGTCGTAACTTAAATACCATTTGACATTACGACTTCAATCTTAGAACATAGATAGAAGACGTTGAGAAGGAGTGCACATCGCCAAATTTTGGACCTTATTTATTATTTATAAGGTCAAGATTAATCTTTTACATCAAAATAGAGTCCAGGTCTTAACTTCAGACCCCTTTGATATAAGGACTTCAAACTTGTAGCATAGAAAGAAGACATTAATACAAGATGCAATGCATCAGAATTTTGACCTTGACCCCTTTCTTCCTTCAAGGTCAAATATAGAAAAAACACAAATTAACCATTACTTGAGAACCCTTTGACATTAAGACTTCAAACTTGAAACATGCAGAGGTGGCATGGAGGAGGGGTGCATGCCATCAAAATTGACCTTACCCCACTTATTATAAGGTCAAGGTCAAGCTTTTACATCAAAATAGCTTCCAGACCATAGCTTGAGTATCCTTTGATATTAGGACTTCAAACTTGTAACATTGATACAAGATGCAACGCACCAAAATATTGACCTTGACTCCTTTCTTTACCAAGGTCAAAAACAGAAAAAAAAACTTGATTAGACCATAACTTAAGAATCCGTTGTTATAAAGACTTCAAACTTGGAACATGCAGAGGTGGTATGAAGGAGGGATGCACGCCACCAAAACTTTTGATCTTGATCCAATTTATAAAGTCAAGGTCAATCTTTAACATCAGAATAGAGTCCAAGCCATAACCTGAGAACCCTTTGATTTTAGGTTTTCAAACTTGGAACATAGTAAGAAAACATTGATACAAGATGCATTGCACCAAAATTTTGACCTTCACCCCTTTCTTTATCAAGGTCAATTTGAGAAAACACGATTAGTCCATAACTTCACAACCCTTTGCCATTAAGACTTCTAACTTGGAACATGGAGAGGTGGTAAAGAGGAAGGGTGAATGCCATTGATTTTTTTCACTTTGACCTATCAATAAAGTCAATCTTTTGCAGGAAAATAACTTGAGAACATTTTGACATTGGGATTTCAAGCTTGGAACAAGGAAAGACAACATAACGACTAAATGCACTGTATCAAAATATTTGACCTTGACCGCTTTCTTCATTCAACGTCGAATTAAGAAAAACACGACCAGATCATAACTTAGGATCTTTTTGACATGAAAACTTGAAATTTTGTACACAGATCGAGGAATTTTAGCTGGATGCACTGCATTATTATTTTTTACCCTGATCGTTTTATTTGTACTCGTTTATGTTGGAAAAGAAGGGGTAACTTGTGTTTTTGTGAAAAAATAACAATACCCACTAGTTCATTTTGAAATCATGTGAAAAATAATCCCAATACCTTTTTTAAATTTAATATAATTTTGTAGAAGAGGCTAAGAACATACAAATTACCGTTTTCTTAGACCGAAGGTAAACTGGATACATTTCCTTTGTCTGATATGGAAAAAACTCATAACTGGCTTTCTTAGTTTTTTTTTTCATTGAAAATGACTGTATAAAGTATGACTTTTCGTCTTGTTTACCTACAAATTATGCCCCGAAACACCTTGTTTGATCAAGCTTTACTTATCAAGCATCATAATAGGAATTTATTTCTCAAATTTGAGAAATATGTAGGCTTCTTTCATTTACCAGATCTTGACCTTAAGTAGGTTTTTCTTCATACGGTTTTTTAATTTTTAAAAACTTCAATATATAAATTAACCAAATCTGTTTAAGGCCTTAAGCCTTAAGCACATTTTTCTCGTGGGCACAATCATATGGAAATGAGTGGAAACTACACTGTCGAGAATAGCAATAAAAAAATATATTACAATACAGGTATGGGTTACTTGGCATCTGACCATGGACGAAATCATGAAACAGATCATTTTATTCATAAAGATGGAAATATCTGATATGAAACAGGAAATGCGTGATGTACAAAACGAAGAATATCATGATGAGAATCAGATGCGAACTGCTTTAAATTCAAGAATTCTTTATAAGACGAAGAAGAAAGACACACTCCTCTTTCTAAACACACATAAACAAGGAACCTAGACGCGTTATATATATATATATATATATATATATATATATATATATATATATATATATATATATATATATATATATATATATATATATATATATATATATATATATATAAAGAAAAACAATACCAAAAAACCCCTAAAACATCAGAGGATGATTCTAACACTTTCCTCTCAATAAACGTCACCTTAAACAGCTTGCTGACTACTACATTACCCAGTCACATGTATATATATGCCATTTAAATAGCAAATAGTTCTTCGTATCTATAGCAAGCGTATTTGGACTTGTAATTTTTTAAGACTATGTTAAAATTTAAGTAAGTAAACCTAATTTTTTTTATGTAGAGTGGGTCTTTGAATCACATTTCCACTGTCTTTCATTCTCCAAAAAAAGAAAATGAAAAGATGCCCCCCTCTTTCGAAAAAGAAATTTACTTATAGAATCCAATTTATGTCACTTTTTGTGAAAATGGAGCATTTTTGCCAATTTCTTATGTTAATCGTAATCAATTTCGCAGTTACTGTATTCAGGTATTTTATGCAAAATAAACTTACCTAAATTAAACAAAAAGTGGAATTTGTGAGAAATATATTTGTTGATTTTTTTATCCTCGTTATGTATGCATTTGGCTCTTCTTATCCCCCCAGTTTCTTTACAAATTAACCTACCTTTATTATTTTAATTGCAGAAAAAATGAAAGGTTACGAAGAACAAATAAAACAACTTACCACAGAAAACGATGACAAAATTGGTATTTATTAATTTCTTTGTGAAAATACTAAAATTAGATTTGATATCACACACAATCTCTCATTTATTAGCCCTACTTACATGACCGCAGGGGGGGGGGGGGGTATGCGTTGTTAAAATATCCATCTATCAGTATTTATTACATCCAGCAATTTTTGTTCAATTATAATAAACTGTATTGCCATTTTCATATTTTGATTAAATCTTCAATCTGCATGTGGATAAATGATTATGATACGTATCCTTTGAAAATTCCTACGATTGTAATGTATATTGAAATTATTTTTGTTCATGTAATGAACAAAGGCCAATTTTCTTTTTCCAATGTAGATGAAAATGGCCGTTTAATACAAAGAATTCGAGATCTGGAAAGAGCTGAAGAGGAACTGCGAGGTCAGTAGACATGTTATTTCCTCAATTTCTATTGCATTTTTTGGTGAAAAATTGGTATAGATCTTGCACGTATATTATGTGTGCATTGTATAACATTAGATCAGAAACAAATAGAATCTATAATATTATATTAATCTTTTATTTTTATTGGTGAAAAATTGGTATAGATCTTGCACGTATATTATGTGTGCATTGTATAACATTAGATCAGAAACAAATAGAATCTATAATATTATATTAATCTTTTATTTTTAGAAATGAAGACCAAGGCATATGAAGGTATAAAGATAAAATGAAAATGAACATTTTCAATAACATTTATAGCTGATGCATATATCGAAGAATTTTTGAGATGAGCAGTTTTTAAAATCTATTTGAACTAGCAGATAAAACAAGTCCATTTTTCTTAACTTTAAGACATACCGGGTATGTATATGGTCTTTAAGATAAATTCTGTTTTTGTTGATGAATCAGATCTAAAATATAAATGTACATAAATGTATATCTTAGCCGATTTTCATTTTACCTAGTTGATATTGATATAAGATCTAAATTAAATGAAAATTGTAAATTATGATGTCTTTTACATCTAGAATTTAATTCCCATAAAGGTCTCAGTTGATCACGAATTAAAAATCCTGATGTTGTAAAAACGATCTCCTTCACTCTAGTGATTCTTTAGAAAAATAGGGTTAAAGAAATCGGTCTTCTACCAAGTTTTAAAATTCAAATCAAGTATGTCCAAAGTTTCAGTTCCTGATTGGCTGTTTTTTCTGTACTGATAAATTTATACTTTGGTGCCTGTCAAGACCTGTTGCTTTTTGCTGTCTAAAGCACCGTGGTTTTTCACAAGATCCCCATTCGAAAAACGAGGAGGCTGATATTTAAGAGGACATTAACTTGGATGCAATGTCTTTTCTTATTATTTTATCGTTTTTTCCGTACATTTCCTAGTTAATTGATGCTGTCGTTTATTTGTATGCAGGTACATTGAAGGGTAGTCCAAGGGTCTTAATAAATCGATCTTGTACAAGGGCATACCCTCAAATGTTCACGACAACCTTTTTCATATAAGCTCTAGAAGATTCAAGCCGTTTGAAAAGTGCTGCGATTATGTTGAAATCTTGAAAATGAATTAATTTTTCTATATTTATTGCAGTTGACCAGCTAAAAATTCAGCATGCAGTCCTACAAATATAATTTAATCAATGAAATAGCAGAATCTATAGGATCGAAGCAATTTTCAAAAACTACAATGGGTGTTAAGAATATTAATAAACCAAACTTAGAATTTTAACTTGATTATGCCATTGCACTATTGAGATATATTAGTGACCTCAATACTATAAGTTATGTGCTAAAATCACGTGACTGCCACTTAACGTGACAAGTCTAAATAGAAAAACTTATCTTCCTCAATATGTAGTTATACATGTAACTATAATTACATTTGTCCGATATTAGTTAAAAGAATCGCCATCCTGATTAAGGACGTGTTTATTATCATCAAAAATCGCCGATATTTCTATTTGGCACCTTAACTGTACTGCAAATGTTACTTAGTATTTCAGAATTTGTCTGAAGATATCTGAACATATGGAATTGATCTTGATATGAATAACTTTATGTGACAAAAAGATGCCATTTTGATTATGTTCCTGTCACTTACTTGTTGTTCGATCATAGCCATTTTAAATGTTGAGATCAATATCTTCGGATTGTCTAGGCAGTTGAAAGACTATGAAAGAATGAATATTTAGCATTGCATTTGACGATATTAAACATAAGACATACACTAGACAAAATTGCTAGCGCACCTTTTGTTATTCTTATTTGTGAATTGATCGGTAGAAGTATGTATAATTTGGCATCTTTTCAAAATAGTAAGATTAAGAAATGTCTAGGTTTCATGACAAGACCCTTAAATGGCCATCTTGCCCGAAAACCAATTTCCCGACGTGCACTGCGTACAGTATTTGCACAGACATGAAGTTGGTGATTACAGAAGATGGTCCGTGAGGTTGCGACAGAAGCAGTCTCCCAGTTAAAAAGCAAATAACATACAGCGATTGACTATCATAACGCCTAGTAGTTATCCTGTACCCTGGTGTCCCTACCCAGTCCACCCAACCTGCGGTTGTGCTAATTTTCTTGAAAAATATTTAAATTGTCGTGTGGTGCTTACTTAATGCTGTGCTATCTATAGTAAACATACTTTATGTTTGGAAATCTATTTGCAACAATTTTTCACTAAAGGAATAAATAATTTTTCACAAATATCTCCAAAGGAACCCCCTTACAGACACCATACTTACTGCTTTAGTACGCTCTTCTAGGGTCAAACGCCGCATACGGTGTAACATTTTTCTGAGTTCTTAAATAGTACAAACATTAAGAATACAATCACCAAAAAAAAAAAAAAAAAATAGAAATTTATTCCTTCAAAAAGTAACCACACGATTTTAGTTTTTTTGTATGAAATGGTTGCGCTTAAGTTAACATAGTAGTTGTTTATCAGTTAAGATATCTAATTGCCTCATTTTTGTTTAAGTAACATAATTATATATCAAATACATCATACTTAAGAGAAAAATAAAATATTAGTTTTCTTTGGTGATGCGTTAGCAATTATGTCTAGCATATGTCTTTGATGTTATGCTAGAGGACTGACCGAACTTCATTTCTTTGAGTAAACATCCACCTAAGCTTCTCACTGGCAAATGAAAATGTTTTTACAAGAACGTGAATGACTGCCTTATTTTCACCAATGTAATTTTTTAAATCATTCGAATATTTCAATCAGAAGTTTGGCTTAATTATATTTTATCTTTGTGGACAAAATTAAGGGACGGAAATTATTTAAATGAAGATCTGCATCCCGTTTAAAAGGACAAGCAATGTAATCTAGAAATGGAGAAATGTATGTTCATGTATTTGATGATAACTATAAGTATCATACAAATATTCTGTTTCTCATCAAACCTTATTTTTGATACTTGTTTCGGAGGGCTAACATATCATTCACTGATGAAAGAGAAGTATGTCTTAATTTTACGATTAAAAATTAGTGATTGGACAAGAATTTAAATGTTTAGAACAGAAACCATGTAATTATTCCCTCTTCCTATATACGAAGAAAACTGTAAAATCAAATATTTTCGTGGTAAAGGGGAAAAATATCTATTCATGGGAAATTCTTGACCTTATTCTTGGAATATTAAATACGTGTTGTAAAATTTTATATTACAAAATAGAATGATTAATCAGAAATATTATGTTTAAAGCGTGGAAATCATAGAAATTAATTTCCAAGAGCTTTTCTTAATTCAAATGTGAAATCTTAATGACTTATTCAAATGATTTTTTTAAAACAACTAAAAACTCTACAGTTTTCTTTTTCGAAGCAACTGTTTTCATTCACATTTGATAATATGCAAACACACTAAATTAGGACTGAAATAAAATGGTTAATCTTCCAGTCTTACAGGGTTTTCATTTCTTTTTTTAACAGAGGAAGTTTTTAGAGAGAATGAAATAGAAAAACTGAAAAAAGAAGTACAATCTTTAAATGGTATGTATCCTCTCAGGGGACAACCGATTTTTTTAATGTCTGTCATAATAATGATAAGAAAGCAAGCAATTATGATATATTTAAGGATCAAATAACAGGTAAACAATAGCCTTAATCATACACGTATATTTCTCTAATTTACTTTTGACAAATGAGCTTAAATGCGATTTTTGAAATATATATATATACTTAACAGATACTCTCAGCCAAGAGAGAAACATTGGAGAAGGAAGTTTAACAGAAATGCAGAAGATGGAGGAGGATTTACATAGTCATGAAAGAACAGAAGAAAGTCTTCAACGTATGTTTTCGCTTTAAATGATGACTGCTTAACTTAAGGATATTTTTATACCTTTAGAAATTACAGTACGATTTTTATGTATGATTTTATCGATTATAAAGGCAAAAAAGAGTTTGACATTTGGTATTTTCATGTTCGTCTCTCTCCTGGTCTTCTACTTATACATTTGTAATTTGGATCTTCAAAATGTTTTAAACCATATCGAATTACAAAAACGCAAGGGTAGAGTTCATTTGAATGCAATAGGAATACGGATTATAAGTAGTTATTTTCTTCTTCGATAATTAACCATAAGTAAAAGTGAAAGTTCTTTGATTAAGAAAAAAAGCTTCATATTTTTCTTATCTTCCAAGATGATTATATTTTTAAGTTAGACTAGAGGAAGCCAATGGAGAGATGGATAATTTGAAAAGACAAATTGAAAAACAATGTGGTAAGGAATTTCATATTATCATTATGATAGAAATATTATAGATGTTATCATAGAAATAATCAATGTGACTTAAATGAAACTACTTCAAGTAGATGATAAAGATGTATAGTTATCAAAGGGGAAAGCAGCTTGTAAATTGAATGTTTTAAGATAGACTGAGGTTTTTTTTTACCATTTAATGCTCGCGGAATATTTGATTGATTGATCGATCGATCGATCGATTGATTGTTGTTTAACATCCCATTCGAGAATTTTTCACTCACATAGAGATGTCACCGTATGCTGGTGAGGGCTTCAAATCAAAACCTATAATATATACTCGGCACTCAGGGCCATTGAGCAGTGAGGGTTCTTTATCTTGCCAACGCTAAACGTGACACGGGACCTCAGTGTTTAAGGTCTCATTCGAAAGACCCGTGACTTTCACTCCTAGTGGCAGGCGCTTGGCGAAGGAACGGTCACCACCTATATTTACGTCTTAGGTTTGACGCGGCGCGGTGAAGGAGAATCGAACCGGGGCATCCCGATCACGAAGCGATGGGAATATCTATTGTCCATCAATTGTGTATCTTTCCCCGTTACATTCATTCGGCAATGTGGAATTTTTCGTTTCGTTCCTTTCGTTTTTTAATAATATAAATAAAAATATTAGACCAAATTATCTAAATGGAGGATCAAATCCTGTCTTAGGAGAGATAATTGAGAATTCGAAGAAATAGGAAGGGATAATAAAAAATTGTCGTCTTCTGAGGGAAATGCTGACAAATTTCCTTTATAGTATAGATTCATGTATGTCATTAATTTTCTTTCAAGCCAAGTGTGTTCACTTCAAAGTTTTAAAAATAAGAATATAATAGAATAGGTATAAAATGTTTTTCTAAGATACTTTCGTTCAAGTGACTGTTGAGTCAAGTAGGTTTTCTGTAAATCTACGTTTTTGACTATTAGTAAGTATGAGGTCATTAACGATACTAATGCATAATATGATGCATGATAAGTTGTCAATACTTTAGGTATAGAATGAATTTTTTATTCGTTTGGTGCACTTCC